CTTTGTATGCTAAGTCTAGGGCACCCGCTGAATACATTGAATAATCCTGGTCAAAATTTTCAAGTCATGCTCCTACATAACTACATAGGATAGTGTGGCTTGGGAACTTTGCCCCCCCCCCTTTTGTACTTCATTTTTATCAAATAAAAGCTATGTAAGACCCAGTAGACACTGTAAAGAATTTACTACGTCATGGAGTTTGGTGCGGGTATCTTCCAGCGGCGTTTCCACCCGCATCATCTCCACCCAAGCACCATGTTACAGGGAATGTGGTGTTTTCGGAATTGTGAAAGCGTCCTGTACGAATACGCAAAAACTAATTTTGCCCTTTAGTGTCGCTTTAAAAAGACAACAATGGACTTGGGATACGACTCGTGAGCTTTGGCTCTCCAAGAGAGATGTATTGTGGTTGCAGGACGTGGTGTGAGCTGAAGTGCTGGAACCTTTCTGCAAGGTCAATACACACAGCATTTTCTACCGCATAGACACTCTATAGCTGCGGCCCATGAATAAAAAGTGCTTTGTATGCCATTGTATACCCCACTGCGAGTTTAATACAGTTGGACGTGTTTGGACATACGTGAAGGGGTGCATCGGAAGACATTTGAGGGTTTCAATTTGGCTGAAATCGAGAAGCTCCTGCCGGATGCACTGGAATCTTGTAAGCCAGGAAAACTGCCAAAACTGCCGTTACTATGTTGAGAAAATGAAGATTGAAGTGTGGGTAGGGGACATGGTTGTCAACGATGAAATGAATACATTTGCGATTCATGCAATTTCTTCTCCTATGAGTTGGGTGCTGATTTCAGTGATGGGTATTTAGGTTGCATTGAAGAACTGGTTTAACTTTGCAGGAATATCTAACCTTTAGAGGGCGGCTTTGTTCACGAGAGTCAAGTGGCTTAGCTAGAACATCGGCACTTCTCTATCTTGCCTGTTTACGCTGCATGACCAAAGGATCACTCCCATAAACGCATCTCCGATTTTCTCGTTTTTTCAAACCACAGAAGCCAACCTCATGTTTTAGTATTAGCGTATTGCATGTGGTTCGCATTTTTGTATGCCAACAAATCTCCAACACTCAATAGACTACTATTCCGGTCGCTGCCTGAACTATTTTCTTGACATAGAAAAAGACGTCTGAAGAGCGGTTATATAATACTTCTGAACTTTTCCTTCAGCTTAATACATTTCTCAGTGTATGCCATGAAGCAGTGCTAAAGTTGGTCCCACACTACTTCGGTGGAAACTGCACCTACTGCTCTGCGGGCGGCACGGTGCCTTCTACAACATGCCCTGTGTTTTAGGAGAAGCCAGAATCGAGTGAACCTAAACAGCACCGGCAGAAACGAAAGATTCAAACGAATGTGTGTTGCTACGGGCTGGTTGGAGCAGTGTGGTAACCAGCTGGTGAAATAAAAATGTACCAGAGTAGCCATGAATCAACGAGGCGAAGAGAGAATGCTCAATAAATGCGACAAATTATCTTGTTGGTCAAGCATCGCTTAGAGCTTGGAGGGTTCCCGTGTGTTTAAAATGAACATGGTACGCATCAAACCCACGTTTAAGTGCAGTTGCAATTGCGCCCTGTGGTATGTTAACGAAAAAAACAAGATTAGGAATCCATGGCATGGAAAAAAACAAAGAAAAAAGTGTTATAAAAATAGGTATCGAACTAATGCGTTCTAAACTTGATATGTGTGGTTTAACGTCTCAAAACCACGATATTATTATGAGAGACGCCGTAGTGGAGGGCTCCGGACATGTTGACCCCCTGTGGTTCTTTAACTGCGCTCTAAACTTAGTTTTCATGTATCCACTGAACGCGTCAAATAAATCTGCCATGAAATAGGACGGGGTGATGTACCTCGTTCTGCTTTTGGTTTTAGAGGCCACTCGCGTAGTCTTCACAGAATTGCACCCTGTGTATGAAAGGAAGTATAAATAAAAACGCAGCCTCAAACTAGGAACAAACTGAATAGTCTATGAAGTATAGTTTAGATTTTAATCTAACTAGAGGCAAATCTATGCAATTCAATATAAAATAAAACATTATTTGGAAGCGATGTGCCGCTGTGAGAGTGCAGTTCATTCGTGACAAGCAATCATGACCTGTACTTGCCGTGTCACGCTGTATCCAGCCAAACGAGCGGAGTACAATTACAACCGCGAACTACATGATAGACTTCAATCAAGAGATCTATTTCTGACAAGGTATCGCGCCCTAGAAAAAAAGACATTGCGATTTTGAGCGCACGTGGATGAACTTTCAAAATGTATAAAAACCGAGCAACTGCTCACAGAATACCTAAAATTGAAGGACTATATGAAATAAACCGAGAGGCAGTGTTCTTGTAAGGTGAGATGCTACCCACTTCTCAACTTAAAGTGGTCGCGGCAGCTGTCCAGTGCATGGCTAAAGGAATAAGTAGGGCTCTGGACTCGCATGAACTAACCAAGAAAGGCTCTAGCATTTAGCATTATGTAACTTGCTCAGAACGTTTAATGCGAGAGGCAAAAACTATTAGCATGAGGGATCATTAAGCACTATGAAGAAACAATTACCTATAGCTAGATATACACTACGTTAGGGTAAATATCATAATTTTCTAGTATTAGGTGGAGTTCTTGCAAATCAAGCATCACGCGTTAACCTCCTCAGTTTGCAAGATTCATGTGATCACATGCGCCGCACGAATGAGAGGTTGTGAAGGTGACTGCGGCGCAATTTTGTCATTGAGCAAAACCTTATAAATGATGCTAAAACGTGTACAAATTCTGAACGCAATGTACGCACACACACGTGTTAAAGAGTCGCATATGTGCAGATAACCAGTTGTTTATACTTGCGTAAAGACGGCAACGGCAACATGAGTATCACCAACACCGGAAGCGGTAAACTGATATGCAGCTTGTACTTGGCAGTTCTGAAGGCATGCTTAAAAAAACCGTGTGCAAGTGTGGAAGGCGTTAAAACAGTTCTTCACAAAGGTACTCCGCCGTATTACGTGAGCACCAGCCGCTGGAGAGAACTTTATCAGATAACTTCATTATCGCGATGACGAAGGGTCTATGTGTGATGAAGTATGAGATATTGAACAACTGTTCGAAATCGTAGAAGGCTCTTAACAATCATTGGTGTCTCCTGTCCTAAATTTTAGAACGACAGCTAGTTATGCCCTGACCACATCGTGACTCTTATTCGTGTATTGTGAGAACCAGGCCTTGTTTGATTTGCATAAATCAATGTTGAATCGGACGAAAATGATGAGAGGCATGAACATCTCAGCTAAGTTATTTTAAGGGGAATAAAACAGCATTACTGCGCAATGGTACGTGCCCGTATTTCCATCAACGAGGCAATCGTGTACAACTGAGTTGGCCGTGATCCGGCGGGGTTTGTAGACACTCAGTCAAATTAAAGCCGAGCATGCACCCATATGGCTTACTTTCATTCTTTCTTCTTTGGCCAAGGCATTCATGTGTACATGCCCTGTGCTGTAGTCGATTACGTAGTCGCATGTGAGATGACGCAAATCATCATCCGCAGCGTCGAGGCAAGTGTGTTATGGCAGTCGACGTGCACCTCATGCCGCCAGGGCACTTAGCAGCGCCAGGTTTCACAAAATGGTAGTCAGTCAATCGGACGTCATCCATGGTCAGCACGAGCCCATCATCTAGCCTAGTAAAAAAAATGAAGAAAACACTGAATTATTTTGAGGACCACGTGGAAGATTGGAGGGAATCCCAGAGTCTTCAAGACGTGTGATTTCTTCAGTTCTCTCCTTTGCGTTCATATGTGAATTTTCGCGGTTAATGCCTTCCCTGAAACTGTGAGTCTCCCGCGGTGGCCTGCCTGCATAACGTGAGCTGTGGCCCCACGCAAGTGAGATAAAATACTCCATGGTCTACGCGACTGCATTTTGCGTTGTTCCTGATCTAGCCGTCCGCAACCCTCTCTAACTAATGAGTCGAACTACTGAATCATGTACTTCATAAATTAACCACCATTGTGCTAATTTCGGTATATAACAATCGTTCAGACGACCAGACGAGCGCACAGACAGACAGACAGACAGACAGACAGACAGACAGACAGACAGACAGACAGATAGACAGACAGACAGACAGACAGACAGACAGACAGACAGACAGACAGACAGACAGACAGATAGGTAGGAACAATAAAAGTACCTTAAAGGATTGTAAAGAATTGCTTAACGTTTATATACATTTGTTGTGTGTGGCATTGCTCGCTTGTAGGTTGTTAGTAAATTCTTGGCATTGCCGTTGTCAGATTGGTATTAGGTTTGACTAGCGATATAAGTCGGCGTCGCATGCCCTCAAGCTTTGTTATTTCACAGGTCTCTGTTGGAGCTTTGACCTTTCATTAATAGCATAACGCGAGAGGGACGTAAGAAGCTGGTTGTGTTGAACAAAAGCTGTCACTTCAGGAACGCGAAATTAGGAATGAATTGAAATGGAAGTGATGCGTCACATCCTGAAAACAAATTAATACCATTGCAACAGAATAGAAAGTTGGGCGAGTTGGTGTATATTCATATTAAAAGAAAAGCGGCGCACAAAAAGACGGAGACAAAGAAGAGGACCACACACAGCGCTGCACTCACGTGAGTGCATGTGAGTGCAGCGCTGTGTGTGGTTCTCTTCTTTGTCTCCGTCTTTTTGTGCGCCGCTTTTCTTTTAATATGAATAATACCATTGCAGCTTATCAAACTCTATTTTGGAGCATACCAACGTGTGAACTTGGAATCTATTGAACCTATGTGAAACACACCGACACGTGTTCTATTCACTGAGAACGGAAAAATGCATTCACTACACATGGGGTGTTATTAATGCATTGTGTCTGAAGGCGATGAACTTTATTAGCAAAGTAGAATGAAAAATCCTTGTTTTTCCAACCGTCCATTTTATTAAAAGAGCAATTGGCTGACAAGCCGCTTCAAATACAAGAGAGGTAGCTGAACTCTTTTTGTGCAAGTGTAATAGTTTGTGCGTGTATAAAACGCTGGTCTGGTTGATGTTCTGCTGAGCACTGGCAAGTGAACTTGACGGCAAAAGAGCATTAGTTGGTGAAAAGGTAAGTCGGCCGGCACCTTTCCGAAAAAAAAAACGTTCGAGGTTTGTCCTTTGCAGCGTCCAAGTTGTACTTAAAATGAATGTTAAGTATCCAGAGAACAACTGAAGAAAATAATTAAAATATTTTGAGAAGGTCCCAACCCTACAAAAGGTTTGTTATTCTAATAGTGGAATGGGTAGCATCGTAACAAGAAAAAAAATAGCGTGAGAAGTCAAGGACGAAAAACTTCACTCATGAGCGTAGTGCTTGTGCTAATTCTCCTTCCGTCCTCTGTTCTTGCCTGTCGTTTTTCGCTACAGTGTTCAAAGGAGGAATATAACACACCCTGTCTCTCTGAATTTATACGATAACACTGCTGTCATTGCGGTAATGCTATCAAAACTCAATATTGCTGAACATAATTTGAAGTGGAGTTCCTAGACACTCCGACAAAATGCTATCGAAAAATATCGAATGAGATTCGTGTTCCATATAGAGCGTTGCACGGACCTTCTTTTTAAGATTTAAAAACCAAAGGTAGTAAAGGGCAGTTGAGCGAAAACAACGACCTGTTCGTTCTTGTCATGTGACTTTCCCAACAGTATATTCGTTCCACCACTTGATTATTTCAATAAATGTGACCTTATAGGAAAAATCTCCGCATTCTTTGAAAGGCGAAGTGAACTTGTTAAGTTTAAGAGGTGATTCAAACATGACTGGTCTATATTTTGCAGCAAAGCAAAGACTAAGCGATGATTTTTTTCTTAGTTTGAATAAATCTCGCGAAATATAGAACAGTAATTTACGTGAGTGCGGGCATGCACCGTCGTAATGCGGCGCAGTCAAACATGCTCAAGCTTATGAACAGTGGCTGTCTCGTTCTCTCTTTTCATGTTTGTTTCTCTCTGTTTTCTTAATGTCGACTTAAAATATCATTGTCAACGCTCGCAAAAAAAAAACAATCATAATCAACGCTTACCATGAAAAAACATCATGCTGCCCTCAACGATTGCAAAGCAATTATGAAGGTTTGTTGCTACCAAACAGATAAACGCTCCGATTTCTTGTAACCGTAATGCAGTGCTTGTACAGCTTAGCCTCCAGGCAATATATTTTCACAAGTATAGAAAACCTCGTCAATGCGAGAATTCGGATAATTTGGACGCGTTCTTCTGTCCCGACATAGACGTGTATTGTTAATTCGTACCAAAGTGGTCACTGCGTTCTGTTTTTCCGTGGCCTGGTTTAATGGAATGATTCTGGGAACATGGCGTGCACGAAGCGCCGCAAAAGTGGGACGCAACGGAACGACAATGGCGTTCACAAAAAAAAAAATGGCAGCATATCCACGGAGTGAATGATTGAGAGCGGGGCGAAGCATTCGTCCGTCCATTTGTTCTTGCTTCCGTCTGTCCATGCGTCCGTCTGTGTGACCGTCCATGCGTCCACCCACCCATCCGTGCGTGCGTCTGTTCGTGCGTCCGTCCCTGCATTCGTCCATGCATCCGCCCCTGCGTCCGTTCATGCGTCCATACATGCATCTGTCTGTGTGTCCGTCCGTCCATCTATTCAACACTCCAAGTACCATCATCTCGAATATTTTCATCATATATTCCCCATATAGAAGTACCGCTATCCAGCGGACATTCATAGGACTAAACGAGAGGTGGCACACGCACACTTTCTTACTGCTTGCGCTTCGGGTCTATTTCCAACCTTTAACCACCTCGAGTTCATGGTATATACTAGTTCCTTGTGTTCATAACACTGCGGCTCAACGCTCGCTAAACCTTTCTAAAACCACGGAGGTTACGCCCAGAAAGTATAAAGTAGCAACCTTTTCCTGTCAGATAGTGCTCCATGTACATGCCAATGGCCGCTAATGGGAAACGAGAGACGGGAGAATTCAGCTTTTACTTTCTTACGGCTTGCGCTTCGTATCTACTTCCCAACTTTAACCACCTCGAGTTCATTCATGGTATATACTAGTTCATCGTATTCATGGCACTGCGGCTCAACGCTCGCTAAACTTTTCGAAAACGAAGGATGTTACACCCAGCGAGGATAACGTAGCAACCCCTTTTTTAGCGATAGCTACACTGGCCTCACTGAGCCAATTTCGCGTGGCTCTGGTCTGCGCATGCGCAATAATACTCCGCCGCCGCCGCGCATGGCTCGCCGCTGCTGTGCGCGCAATTCGATACGCTGCGCAGACGATCAGTGGTGTCGCGCACGGGAGTCGGCACCTCCATAGCACTCGGCCGCGGCCACGCGCAACTCGCCGCCGCCGGTGTGCGTTTTCCAGAGGGGTGCCGTCATAGCCTTGGTAGACATATGGACGCCGACGTGCGTGCCTTCCTTGTGCAGTCACCATCTGACACTGCGCTGGAGCCGCTTGATAGCGCCTGCGCCTCTGACTGGCGTTTGCCACTGTGGTATAGCCATGGAGAAGGAGAGTACAAATGCTGCTCAACGGTGCACTAGAGCGAAGAAGCTTAACTCTTCGGATCCCGAAGTAGTTGCCCGGCAAAATAAGTATACATGAGCCACATAATACGTATACCGTGTGTGTGTAATTGGAACAGCTGTAAGCATGATATCTGGAGAGCTAAGAATAATCAGCTGAACTTTTGCTAACGCTACGTATATCCTGGCATAGCTGAGCTAAGCCAATGCCATTTTTTTGTCAGATGGTGCTCAATCTACATGCCAATGGCTGCTAATGGGGGTCGCAGCGTGCGCGTTAACTAAAAGCCGAATGCTCTTGTTTCTCATTCCCCCTTAGCAGCCATTGGCATGTACATTGAGCATTATTTTTTATTGTTCAACAACGCACAGAAGAAATCTCTCACCGGCACCACCTTGGAGGTCAAAATGTTATACTTGTTACGCACTACAACGGCTACGAGAAACGAATTAGTGCCGCTATAAAAAATTTCGCCCCTAAAAGAGGTAGCTTCGATTTCGCAGGGTGGCTTCAGAATTGCGTAGACGCTATTCGTGATTGTGGGTTAGCGAGACAGGTTTATTCAGCAGGAGATGCGGCACTCCGCAGTATCGTGTCGACAACCGGTGCTGGCTAGCCGCGCGCCTTAATAACTGCGTGGCACTTGGTAGTTTTTTTCTTTTTCACTTTCTTGCTTGGGGCAATGCGTTCACAATGTCACAAAAACCAGTCATGCCGGAAGCTTTTGAAGGGCTTCATTCCCGGTCCTCGATGCTGGCATAAACGTTGTCTGCTACACTTCAGGAACCATCAAACAAGCCCCTTATGCTATCACCTTAATTAGAACTGCCAAGCTTTTAGAAAACACTATGAGCGTTAGAAAATAATTTTTAAATTCACAATCGTCTTTTTGCCACTTACAGAAAGTTCACCTACAGGGCCGTCACACGTAACCGCAGGCCCTACCTAGCCAGGAAAAAGATGGCGTCCGCCCTCAAATCGTCTTGACTCAAGGACAAAAATATATTTTTAACACGCGAATCTCAGTTCCACTGGCATAATTTTCGTCGTGAACATGCTGCCGGTAAAAGGATCGCGAGCAGGCTCATGAAAGAAACTTGACCAACGCGTCTTATATAGCGAGCACCTTATCCCTTTGACAGTGATAACAGTTCATGTGGACAGTGCCACTGTGTGATATTGGTGTAGTTAAGCAGTGAGTTATAATATTAACAAGCACTGACAAGCATTGTTTGAGAAGTTTCTGTGCAACGGAGGTTTGTTCAATGAGAGGGGCCAGTGGCAAGCGGAATGCCTTTCAACGTTCATGGCTGAAGCCATGAACTCTGCCTCCGATTTTCCTAATGAGCTTTGTGGGGCACCGATGAGCACTGGCGTTGATTGCCCAATACTGACGTGCTGACACCACGGTGTATTTCTCCTCAAATGGGGACGCTTTGAATGAGGGCATACAGAGTACCATTGCTACTCACCGTATGCTGCGTGCCGGTGCATGTTAACTCGTGGTGTGTGATAATAAATCACAACATTTCGGGTTAAATGACAGTCATTAACTGATGTCTTCAGAACGAAGGTGTGCCACTCAACAAATGCACACCTCCGAAGCTGCTAAACACTAAAACGACTTCTGTAATATGTCCTACATCAATTTACATGAAGAGTCATCTGTGATACCGGTAATACAAGTTTATCATGCATGTTGTATTGACCACTATGGCGGAGGAATCAACCATGTTTTTTTTCTTGTTAGATAATCTCTCCACGAAGGCAACGTCATAGTAAAAACAATGGCCAGCAGATCCGCCTTACTGGTTGTAGCCATCGCTCTTCTTCTTGTGTGTGGTAAGTATACATATAGAGGCAATAATGATTGACTACGTTATGAAACGGCTGCTTTCTGCTTGAGGTGTGGTAACCTTGATCTGCTTGACTACTTACAATGAGAGCTCAAGCATAGCAGATTGATTTCAAACTTTTTGATGTACAGTGTGAACCGGGTTTTCGGCTTTTAGTGGGACAGCTTTGAAGAGCCCCTGTCGCAAAAGTTTCGCTGTCGGAGTGTGGGAGCGAAAAAATGGGATCGATGCAAATAATAAAATTGATGTCTGCGCTGTGTAACCAAACCAATGCCTTACATGTGGCAGTCAAGTGTTCTACCGCGGCTGTGCAAATAAACCTCACGCTTGCGTCAAGTGTTACGAGGAGTTGCACTGACACACGCTAACACACGGTGTAGAAGCGTACAATCACGGGAAATGTTGGGCCGCGAGAATCGGGCATGAGGTGCATGATTGAATTTCCTACCATTAGAAAGTGCTCAGGCGTAATTAATAATCCGGAGGAGCTTCAACGTAGTGTGCCGCGTAGGTGCTTCTACATCCTCACAGGAGCGTATTGGACGCGCCGCAACGGCGTTTAAAGAAATCATGCGTTTTAGGAAAGTGTTATTGGCACCGTTCAGTCGAGTTTTTCAGTCTGATTGCAGCACCAGAATACATAGCCTAGCGTATAAAAAATAACCCTTGAGATGGCATCGGTGAAAATGGAACGCGACGCGCGCGTCTCGCGCCCTGCATCTGTCAGCGGATTGTGGCCGAGATACCTGGGGGACACGAGCACGCGTCTCTTTTCTGCGTGCTCCTAACGGCGAAAGTCAGAAACTTTGAGACGTGCCAGTATGAGGAACGTAGCTCCCTCTGGTCAGTGTGCGGTACCTATACTCAAAATATTACTAGTGCAGATGTTCAATCTCTAGCGTCTCTGTTTGAGGGGTCCACTGAGAAGCGGAATGTGAGCTGGTTCCTGGCAAGCTTTCGCGTTCTTGTGGCAAACTTCAAGCGTTCTAAATAGTTTTGATTTTTTTAAGTGTGCGAGGATTGTGAGTAATTGAGCTCGTGAGAAAACGCAGGGAAGTTTAAAAAAAAACATGGAATTAGCGCATCACGAGCTCCTATATCTCTAATGAGAAGGAAGTGCAGGGGCAAATGAAATTAGGGACACGAATGCCTTCATTGGTTGACTAATTGCGGTGAGTCATAGCTCACGTGAGCCATTCCTATGCCAGATAAAGCTATTGCTTCCACTCAATTTCCCCTTATTTAGTCTGCAGTATCAGCTTGTTAGGTATGGAAAAACAAAAAAATATATAGGGTGCAGCCATTCTTTATTCTGCTTTCCTGTTATCATTTTGTGAATGTAACACGCGACAAAATATCTGTCAGATGGATGTTTATACTGCTTAACTCTATTGATTTATTGAATCTAAATGATGTGTTTCTCATAATAGAACGTTTTTAATAAACTTTTTTGGACAAGTCGTTATGAATCAAATATATGCCTCTGAAGTTTACTTTTAAACTCTAAGTTACTACGCCTTACAGAAATGCTGATATGCTAGTTTAATGATTTTAATATAAAGATGACCTACCAACGCTTATTTCGTAACGCAAGTGCTAGGCGCCACCGCAATATTTCTCTGCGTATTTTATTGTCGTCATGGCCACATCTCAATTTATAGCCGATACAAAGGTGTTTTCCGTAGATTCTAACAAACGCGTTAGTTACCTCTTCAATAGATATCTTGTATACTACGACCTATATTACTTTGTCAACAGAAGTCATTCATCACTTGCGCACTCAAGTGACGCACACCAGTAGCGGTCGTTCCCGCAAGAACGCGCCGCTGTGACCCTGTTCAATTCCTATGGATAGCCTGCTCAATATTGGATATGCGAGCTTTTTGTCTGACCCTTTCATTGAGCAATTCTTTTCACAGACATTGCTATACAAACGAAATAGCACACGTTATAGTGCACTGATAGAAAAGGCAGCAAAGACGAGCTCAGGCCTGCATAATGACACAATGTGACTTTAAATTACGCGCGCTAGCAAATACTTGTGCCTTCTAGATGATTTGCGATGCACGAGCCTGCGGGACCCAGCTGCGCGCGAACCGGGTTGAAAGAAAAGAAGAACGTAGAAGAAGAGGCAGAAGGCAATCCTCGAGACAATCTAGCTGTGCTATAATTCTCGGGCACAAGTTCGCCCAGCCTACGTTAGCTTATTAATACCCCTGTCACACGAGCACTTAAAAGTCTTTTAAGTAAGCGGTCTTTTTCCGAAAAGGAGTTCCTGACAGCAGACACACGGCACAGAGCGAACCCATTTTCAAAAGCGGTCTTTTTTGTAAACGGCGTTCGTCGATCTCTTTTACGGCTCCGAATGAGTAGCCTCGAAACCAGTGGGCGCCAGCAATTTTCGAGTGCTGGGAAAAAAAGAGCGAATGCTTATTTTTCTGTCACCAAAACTCTTTGTAAAAACAAATTTCATTTCCTGCAGAAGGTGTAATGAACTCTTTTAATGGTTATTTCCTTTTCTACTCTCGTAAGCAGCTACAACGCGTCGGCAATATCACGTGGTGACGCTCGGTCTTGCGCTGCTTTATCCTCTCCTTGGCGGCCTTTGCAGCGTCTGCCTCGCTTTCCAGAGCGAGAAGGCAGGCCGTGAGCCTTGCGATCCTCGCCTTTTCTCCCGTACGGTCGCCCATAACGTGCCGAGAGCAGCCGAGAGCAGCGAAAAACAAATACGGTAGATAAAAGCACAGTGGTGCCAGACGGACTTGTGCACGTCGCTAGTTATATGAATGCTTCCTTATCTAGTGCAAAAAACATTCACATTGGTGTTCTTTCATCTCTTATTCTTAAATTTATTTGAAGAAATGAGCAGTGCAACAAGTCTTTAATTTGTACATCGTGATACATCGTTTAATTTTCATTGATTTTCTTTTAACTGCTAGCGCCACGCTTTCTCTAGCGTCTTCGAACGAAAACACTAAAAGGAGATCGTTGCTGCCGTGTGTCTGCGCCGCAAACACCTCTTTGTTAAAAGTCTTTCAACTTCGTAAAAGACCGCTTACTTAAAAGACTTTTTGCGCGCCCGTGTGACACAGGTATAAAAGAGTTTATTGAAAAGTGCGTTAAAAATCTGGTGGAGGTGCTGGGTATGATGCCAAGCCCCTCTCGAGTGACGGAGCACAGTCCAGAACCACAGCGATTTCGACCCAACGAGCTGACGCCTGTTCATCAGCGCTGCAGTCGACGCCTACGTGGTGAGGGTCCTGAATTTTCACCTTTATCGACTTCGCTTGGAACATCAACGGCTGTGAACGGGTACGCAACCGACATGACAGCTCAGGTCACTCCAGCCAACATTGTCGTAAACCAGCCAATGCTACCAAAGCCTTTCCACGGTGAAAGCTACGAGGACGCAGAGGACTGGCTTGAGCACTTTGAACGCGTCGCAAAGGCTAACGGATATGGGGAAGAGCGCAAACTTGGAAGTGTTTACTTCGCACTGGAAGATAGCGCACGAACGTGGTATGAAAACCACGAAGCCACCTTCCGGTCATGGAATGATTTTCGACGGGAGCTGCTCGCTGCTTTCCCGAACACAGACCGCAAAGAGAGAGCTGAAGCTGCGCTCCAGACAAGAAATCAGCGCAATAACGAAACTGTCGCCATGTATCTGGAAGACATGTCTCGCTTATTCCGCCGAGCGGATCCAAATATGAGCGAAGACAGGAAGCTGCGCCATCTGATGCGAGGCGTGAAGCAAGAACTCTTTGCCGGACTAATTCGAAGCCCGCCGCGCACCGTCGCCGAGTTTCGTTCCGAGGCGACTACAATGGAAAGAACGCTACAACAGCGAGCAAGGTTATACAACCGGGATGCGATTGTCACTTCCTTGGACATGTTGCCACCAGCCTTCGGTAACGGCATGGAAGCACTACGCGAGCTGGTGTGGTCTGTTGTGCGAGAAGAGCTGCAGAGGCAGCGTCTTGACCAGAACGCTCCAATGCTTTCGTCTCTGGCCGATGTGATCCGTGAGGAGGTCAGGCAGGTGGTACGCGATCCTTCGAGCAACGCACAGCCAGGGCCACCACTACAACAGAAGACGAGAATGACGTATGCTGATGTGCTACTACGAGGACCTCCAGGACGTGCGGACGTCGCAGCGGCTACACCTATGCAGTACCCGATGCCGCCGAGCACCCTGCAGCCAACGCCAGAGAGGAGACTAAGGAAGAGCGATGTCTGGCGCACTCCCGACAGGATACCGCTGTGTTTCCACTGTGGGGAGCCTGGTCATCTCTACCGAACGTGCCACTACCGCCAGGCAGGACTCCGTGGTTTTCCTGTTAATGCACCTCGACCACGAAATGGTGAACGTCCCTTCGAAATTGAAGAATACCTGTCAGGTCGTCAAACCTCAAGTGGCTTCCAACGACACCAACCTCGGGCAACGACAACGGGGAGGTATAGATCGCCTAGCCCCCGACCTTCAGCCAGCTCCCCAAGGTCTCGTTCCCCAAGCCCGCGTCGGGAAAACTAGAGTCAGCGACCTGTGGAGGCAAGGCCGCTGTCGACGCTAATGTAGAAAAACCTCCATTGCTGACTCTGAACGACGACCGATTCTGAAACCGGTGCTTCAAAGGTGACGTTGCTTCCGATTTACGTGTGTTCGTTGACGGCTACGAAGTAATCGGACTGGTAGATACCGGCGCAGATTATTCAGTGATGAGTAGCGGACTTTCTAAAATACTAAAGAAAGTGCTGACTCCTTGGAAGGGACCACAAGTTCGCACAGCAGGAGGGCACCTCATCGACCCTACTGGAATATGCACAGCAAGAATCGGAATACGGGGTTTCACGTACGTCGCCAGTTTTATTGTGCTGCCGGAATGCTCAAGAGACTTGATTATCGGCATGGCTTTCTTACGAGCTAATGGCGCTGTAATTAACTTGCGAGAATCTTCCGTCTCATTCTCGACTAGGCACGCGATTGGTACCTTTGAAACGGAAGAAAACGTATATGACCTTTGTATTGCAGATGATGGCGTCATGGTTCCGCCAAGATCGAGCATATCTGTCGCAGTAAACAACAAAGCATTCAGTGAATTCGAAGGATTTGCTGACAACAACACTGCCTTACTACTCCAAAAAGGAATCTGCATGGCACGAGGCCTTGTTAAGTTACGTGACGGATGTGCAAATGTTCTACTCACAAACTTTGGAAATGAGGTGCAGCACGTTGCAAAAGGAACCGTCATCGCCAGTCTGATTGATTTCGTCCAGGTTACGGAGCTGCGAACTTTTGAAACCAATGATTCTGATTTCGAAGACGTGGAGTCTGTCCTTGCAGCCATCGACATCGAGCCATGCCTACTACCAAGCGAAAAAGAGCAAATAGAGCGTCTTTTAAAGGAATTCGCCGAATGTTTCTAGTTGTCATCTAAGGTTCGACGCACTCCTGTCGCTAAACATCGCATCATTGTCGACGAGTCAGTGAGGCCAATACACCAGCATTCCTACCGAGTGTCACCAAAAGAAAGAGAAGCTATTGGTAATCAGGTTAAAGAAATGCTCAAAGACGATGTAGTCCAGCCTTCATCAAGTCCATGGGCGTCACCTGTTGTTCTTGTGAAGAAAAAATACCAAACCTTACGTTTCTGCGTTGATTATCGGAAGCTGAATGCCGTCACCAAACGGGATGTTTATCCTCTGCCAAGAATTGATGACACTCTGGATAGGCTGCGAAATGCCAGGTATTTTCCCTCATTGGATCTTAAAAGTGGGTATTGGCAGATAGAAGTGGACGAAAGAGATCGCGAAAAGACAGCGTTTGTGACACCGGACGGTTTATACGAGTTCAAGGTACTCCCTTTTGGCCTTTGTTCAGCACCCGCCACATTCCAACGGATGATGGACACAGTGCTTTGTGGTCTTAAATGGCAGTCATGTCTGGTTTATCTCGACGATGTTGTAGTTTTCTCTGCTACCTTTGAGCAACATTTGGAAAGGCTCCGGGCCGTGCTCACTGCGATCAAATCAGCGGACTTGACGATAAAACCGCAGAAATGTCATTTCGGCTTCCGTGAGCTCCTTTTTCTCGGACATGTCATCAGTGCAGAAGGCGTCCGCCCAGACCCTGCAAAAACTGAGGCCGTAGCAAGATTTCCGAAGCCAACAGACAAAAAGGCTGTTAGGCGATTTTTAGGTCTCTGCGCCTATTATCGACGGTTCGTTAAAACTTTTTCACGAATTGCTGAACCACTGACACGGCTGACAAAAGAGGAAATGCGTTTCGTATGGCTTGCCGAACAAGAGGATGCCTTCAATGAACTACGAAAGTGCCTTCAAAGCCATCCTGTTCTGGCGCATTTTGACGAGGAAGCGGAAACCGATATCCACACAGATGCAAGCAATTTAGGTCTTGGGGCCGTGCTCATCCAATGGCAAAACGGACAAGAACGAGTCATTGCGTATGCCAGTCGCACTCTTTCGAAAGCTGAGGTGAACTACTCAGCGACCGAGAAAGAATGCCTTGCCGTGGTATGGGCTATCAGCAAGTTTCGACCATATTTATATGGTAGGCCTTTTCGAGTTATAAGCGACCATCATTCGCTATGCTGGCTGGCTAATCTCAAGGACCCATGTGGACGGCTTGCACGATGGAGCTTGCGATTACAGGAGTATGATATCACGCTTGTGTACAAGTCAGGTCGCAAGCACAGTGATGCGGACTGCTTGTCACGTGCTCCGATTCAACCTGCTGCTTCTGCTTCCACCGAGGATGGTGAAGATTTTATTTGCTTGGGAGCTGTAACACTATCAGAGATGGCACATCAGCAGCGATCCGACCCTGAGATACTCCTCTTGATCAAGTACCTACAAGGACAGTCTGTCGATGTTCCACGACCTTTTGTCCGCGCCTTGTCAGCGTTTGTCCTACGAAACAACATCCTGTATAAAAGGAACTTTGACAACAATACAGCGACATTCCTGCTTGTCGTCCCTTCACCTCTGCGACCAGAGATTTTGGAGGCTTGCCACGACGATCCATCAGCTGGACACTTAGGAGTAAGCAGAACGTTAGCACGCATCCGCACTAAATACTACTGGCCGAAGTTGCTTAGCTCTGTACGGCACTATGTCAGAACCTGCCGGGACTGCCAAAGACGTAAAACGCCACCGCTAAAACCAGCAGGTCTCCTTCAACCGATAGAACCACCAGAAGCCCCATTCACACAAGTGGGATTGGACTTACTGGGCCCATTTCCTACGTCATCATCGGGAAAACGGTGGATAATAGTTGTGACCGACTATTTAACCAGATATGCCGAGACAGCGACTCTAGTTAAAGGATCAGCCCTTGAAGTAGCCGAATTCTTTGTCTCCAACATAGTACTGCGGCACGGAGCTCCAAAAGCGTTGATCACGGACCGAGGGACTGCATTTACGGCCGACCTGATGAAATGTATCATGAAATTGACGCACACCAGTCATAGAAAAACGACGGCATATCATCCTCAAGCAAATGGTCTAACGGAAAGACTGAACAGAACGCTGGCTGATATGTTGTCAATGTACGTTGATATAGAACACCGTACTTGGGATAAAATATTACCCTATGCAACATTCGCCTATAACACTGCGACGCAAGAGACAACACGGATGACGCCATTCCAACTTGTTTTTGGCCGGACGGTAACGACACCTTTAGATGCAATGTTACCTATTGACGAGACGCCCGAGAATTACTATGACGTTCACGACTACATACAAAGAGCAGAAGAAGCTAGACAGCTGGCACGATATCGCATTCTCCAACAGCAGAAAACCGACACGCATCGATACAATCTGCGAAGAAGAGACGTCCAGTACGCACCAGGAGACAGAGTATGGGTGTGGATTCCTGTACGAATACGTGGACTGTCAGAAAAACTGCTTCGCCGCTATTTCGGTCCGTACAGAGTGCTCCGCCGCGTCGGCTCGCTCAACTACGAAGTTACGCCAGACGGACAGGATATTTCATCCCGACGGCGGCATCGCACGGAAACTGTGCATGTCGTCAGGATGAAACCATATCACGCCAGGCAATGAAACGCTGAAGATACAACGTTCTCTGACGTTAACGACATCCCCGACGAGGGTTTGTGAATGACTGCCATGCAACCAGTTTGACACAAGCATCGGGACGATGCACTCTGGAAAGGGGGGCAATGACACAATGTGACTTTAAATTACGCGCGCTAGCAAATACTTGTGCCTTCTAGATGATTTGCGATGCACGAGCCTGCGGGACCCAGCTGCGCGCGAACCGGGTTGAAAGAAAAGAAGAACGTAGAAGAAGAGGCAGAAGGCAATCCTCGAGACAATCTAGCTGTGCTATAATTCTCGGGCACAAGTTCGCCCAGCCTACGTTAGCTTATTAAAAGAGTTTATTGAAAAGTGCGTTACAATACTTATTGTTGTGCCACTGCTAGTGTTATCCTGCTTTGTTATGTCAGTTTGAATGCTGAGCCTTCGTACAAGTTGAATTTTGCCCCTTAAAGTAATTTCGCTTATAGTCAGTGAAATCATTCTGTAAGTACAGGTATCTGATGTAGCAGTGACGGCACTGACATAGCAACCCCCTGTTCTTTTTTACGAATGCCAGCCGAATGTGCCCGATCCAGCCATACACCACCCTGTCTTCTAGCCCTTTCCTGCTCTCTCCCATTTCCTAGCCTTCGCGGTTGCTTTGCGGTTATAGGAAAGATAATTCATCATGTGGTGACTCAATGTGGAAGTAATATAAAGTATTATTTTGTTCAGTTGTGTATAGATCTGCGGCGTGGCTTCTTGCATTCCTCCTGTTCACAATGTTGATGGTCATGCCGGATCTGTAAGAAGAGTTTTAAGATAGCGTGGCACTAGTCATGGCTAGCAACCTATGGGGACGCGTCACTGCGACTCTGCTGCAGCACTAGCGCTTTGAGGTGGCGGTGGTATTGCTGTAAGCTAGAAAGAAGTAGCGTGAAGGAACAAGTCTGACAGAAGTATGAGATCGGAGAAGGGCACAGACCTATTCAATCTCCGTGGGAAAGCGTTCGGACGCACGTATGATGCAAGCAGCCCCAACTAAGGTTGCCTGACGGCTTCCCGTTGAAGAGCGAGCGTCTGTACTGTCATTGAATGAAACTGTAATGGTGTTGGCATGGCTTATGAATTACTAACTCTGAAAATCATTTAATTGATTTGTTAGTGGCATAGGTGCCAGCTATCGTAAAGCAACTTTTGTCGCAAGCAGATTGCTTCCTTACTTGACCAAAAATTATTACCTCTCAACCTCAACAGCAATGGTCTTAACATTGTTTCATTAATTCTCAGAATCCTAAAAAAACTGTTTTCTAATAACGAATGCCAGTCGGAATAGCTCGTTCCGAGCCAGACTTGATTGTTCAAACTTGATTTGTAATTCTTTTTTTGTTGTCCGCCACCATCTTTAGGAGGAAGCGCAGTTATGAGGAAGGCATACAACTCTGAAACCGCAGCCAGGGCCCTCTTCGAAGCATCAGAGCGTTCCGGCAGTGCAGCCCACGAAGAACAAGCTCGGGTGGGCAGCAACTGCGTCGCCACGCTCTGCGGCCAGCCGATGGGGTGAAAAGTCGACGCTTCTTGAGGCAGCGGGCGAGAGTGATGGTAGAGGGACGTGACTCTGTAATAAAGGATGAGTTACGGAAAGGGCGTTTTGACTAGCAAGTCTGTACTTCCTCCTGGGTGGCCTAGACAAGCATTCTTCCTCATCGCTCGCTGAACATTCATAGTAGTTGCGCTTTTGCCCACATTTGGCGCTTGCACAGTTCAGCCCCATCACTATCATCATCAGTCAGGTTGTCTAAATTCTTCGTAGCGCCAGCACCTCCGTTCTTGTATTGTAGAGCAAGCTACAATGCCCAAGGTTGAGCAGTTTCGCCTGGCATATCGAGAGCCGTGCATCGCAGGCCCGAGGAGTGGTGACGTCACACGGCGCATAACGGCGTGCCGGAGAAAGCATAGAAGCTCTTAGAGGTACCTGTTGCTAGTCGGCTGGCGCTTAAGATGTGCGAGCTGGTTCGATAGTCTGTCCATCTGTCCGTCCATTCGTGTATCTGTTTGTACATACATTCATAGCTCACGCTACGTAAATCCTGGCATAGCCGAGCAAAGCCCGTGCCAATCTTTTTTCTATTATTTTTAAAGACGGTAGTCTTTCTTGGGGACCTTCCACGCAAAAACTTTGGTCTGTCTGTCTGTCTGTCTGTCTGTCTGTCTGTCTGTCTGTACATTTGTCTGTTTGTCCCCTGTTACCGCGTAGCGGGTACTCGAAAGAGCACCAGCCGATACCCCGAACGGCCGACCCCATCTGCAGCACCCACCAATGTTGCTCAAGAATCAGCGTTCATACGTGTGCGATCGTCAATTAAAAAGCAAATATTGCGCATATCTGAGGCACCATAACAACACATATATATTCTGCATGCTCGTATTTTACTAGAAAAGGCATACATAAGTAATTCTAAGGAGCGTAGCGCTTATCACGCTGCGCTGACCACGCAATGCTCGCATGAAGAAGCGAGTGTATCCAACGCTTTGTTAAGAGGACATGGTGGTGGCATCTACCCGTCGCCTTGCGTTCTGCACCTTATCACCTTTGAGACGGGCGTGCGGGCCCGTCTCAGGGCCACGCGCTTTGTTTCCAAAAAGAACTGCCAGATGGCGCTCATGTCTCAAGTATGACGTGACCTGATGCGCTCGTTCGCCTCCGCTGCACGCTCGAGGCACTCTAACACAGCACCTCCGGAATACTATTCACCGATTTTCTTGCGCAGAACATCAAATAAATGTTTTGTTCACTCTCTCCACACGGAAGACTATCGTCTTTCGACGACATTTGCAGAATACATGCAGATACGGGGCCAATTTTTTTCAGGAACTTCTATGCTTCTTACGCCGCCACCTTGTTGTAAATTCTCAACTTCATGTGCTTGCCGTGGGGCTCACCTTGTTTAAATCATCAAAAAAAAAACCATGGCATGCACTCACTCCTTTTGTTATTTAGGTTTAAACGGCTCTTTCAAATTATTCTCATTATGCCAACAAAAGGCAAGAGATTTAATTGGGCAGAAAATAAACATGAAGCTGTAGTTTAATGATCAGAACTAGTCGCGCTATAGAACGTTCCAAAGTTGGAGGGCAGTTAGAGGGCAATAAAAGCCTGAGCTTTTATTGCTAGAATAACGCGGCCGTTTTTATTTCTTAAGACAAATACAATCAGGCATGTATATTTTCGCATTCATCAGTTCTGTATCCTTATGTAAAGTGCACCAGATTCACTTCTTTATATATATACGGAGTATTGTATGCTCATGATACATACCATGTGGAAGTGATACCAATAGTCGACTACAAGCACTAAAAGCAGAAAAAGTAGCAACTTATAATCAGATCCAATATACGCACATATGTACACACACTGCTTTACCTAAGTCACTATACATGCGCGCGTACATCCGCCAGTTTGTAATGAAAGAATGCAGCGAAAGTGATGTGAAATCACCATAAGCACATAGCTACCTATATCGACAAATACATACGCGCATACATATATTGCATGGACATGACATTGTGGTCTGCTGGTTATGGTGCTCAGCTGCTGAACCAAACTCCGCTGTACTGTCGATTGAGGCAAAAATGCTTGAGGCCCGTATTTTTAGTTTCATGCACACGTCAAAGAACCCGAGGCTGTCACAATTTCCGGACGCCTTCTCTACGGCTCCTCTTATAATCATATCGTGGTTTTGGGACGTTAAAGCCCATCAATTGGTATTACCTTTGTATTATTATCGCTATATTATTATATGACGTGACACAGAAATAAGGGCAGTATTACGCTAAAACACGAAATGTCAGCGGTTTGCTACAACCATAGAAAAGCCCGACAAGCACCGGTGTTCTCATCAATAAGACATCATGCTGGTTCCGCTCATACTTTGTGGGAAAAGATTTATTGGGTGTCTAAGGACGTTATTGATGTCAGCGGCGAGGCAGCGGGAAGAGGCAGGTGTAAGGCCCCTATAACCGGGAAACAAGCTTCGAGGATAGTCCCGGAGCTATGTATGGGACAGATAGTCATACCAGAGACCCTCGGGCATAGCTGGGATTTGGAAGGGAGGTGTTATGGTTTTCTTTCTGGCTTCGCTGCTTTTGCGATGTGAACGCACGGGCAAGCTGGTGGCACTCTTCGGCATGTCAGGCCGATTCAGAGACAGGTGGACACTCGGAAGCGGCAGGGTGGTAAAGTAGTGTGGATTGTATGGAACGCTTACGTTCTAAAATCAGAAAGACAGGTGAAAATTTTGTGGTTGTTTGAATAACGGTGTTTTTGCAATTGTTACATAGGGGAGACCACTGTACCAGTACTAGGTCAGATGCCACGTACTTCAAGAGCATATCACCCTATGTGTGGTTAAACCGTTCCGTGAGCCCGTTAGTCGGCGGGTGGTAAGCTGGGGTTGTTCGATGAATGACGTGGCATTCCGAAAGCAGAGCTTCGACGACCTCGGAAACAAAAAAGCGGCCTCTATCACTGAGGAGCTCTGGAGGTACGTCATGTCGGAAGATAAAGCGAAGTAAACTAAAAGAGCTAACATGTCGAGTGGTTGCGCTCGGCAAAGCGGCTGTTTCGTCGTAGCGTGTCACGTGGTCGGCAGAAACTATAATCCACCAACTGCCATCTGGTGTCAATATAAGGGGGCCGTAGAGGTCAACGCCGACGCTTGCCAGGGCATGGAAGCGGCTGCAATGGGCCAGTCACGTGTAGATGTGTTGATTTGCACCGCTGGCAGTCAGGACGCCACTGCATAAATTTGCGCACAAAATTGTACGTGCTGCGCCAGTACTCACGATGGCGAAAGCGTTCATGCGTCTTAAGCACCCCGGCGTGGCGACATTGTGGATCATCGAGGAATGACTATTAACGACCGGCGGCCATAGGCAGCGTAGTTGCGGCGATGGAGTAGTTGATCGCGGATGGCGAAATGGAAATCTTGACGTCTAAGGGATCGAAATACAGGAAACCTAGACGTGCTGAATAGATAATCAAGAAAAGATGTGATCCACGGTTCATGACGTCGTTCGGTGGCAATCGAGCCAAGATTAAGAGAAGACAAAGACTGGATGCGAATGTTTCCACATGCCAGGTCTGGTGGCAGAGGTGAGCGGCAGAGGGCGTTGGAGTGTTTGTGTCCGTACTCCGCAGCGGTATACGACGCTAATGTCGTACACCTGGATGCGGAGCACGCCATCGCGCAAAACTGCCAGAAGGGTCTCCCAACGTGGAGAGCCAGCAAAGCGCGTGGTGTTTGGATACTAAAGTGAACGGGCAGCCGTATAAGTATGGCCAGAACTTTCCAAGTGCCCACACCGAAGCCTAATACTCTTTTTTGGCCACGCTATAATTAGCTTTGGTTTTCACCAGGGTGTGGCTAGCGTAGGCTACGACGTATGTCTGAATAGCGGGGCTTTTGTTAAGCGAGAGAAATGCGGGCCTCGGTGGGCACTACGCGGTAGGAGCCGTCGGGTTGAAGTGGCGAAGAATAGGTGGGGAAGTGAGCAGGCGGCGCAGAGTAGCGAAGACGGCGCCACATGCAGGGGACCCGGAGCAGAGGTTTGCGTCACCGCCAAGGAGCCTGCGTTAACAGTGACATGACGGATGGAAAATTCAGACAATGCACCGGAAACTTGAACATTAGCCTACAAAAACAGGGAAGTTTGTTCAAGGTCGTCTACTAGAGATTCCGCGATCGCTCGAAGTTATGCAGGGTCAGGTGCCTGAGACGAGATCACGTGCAGTGAAGCAGCATTTTTTGAAGTAAGAGTGGAGGCCAGCGTTGGTAAGACAAGTCGAAACGGGCACGAACTAAAGGAGATAGTCATTAGAAATCATGGGAAAAAACACGACTTTGTAGAGGTAACAGACGCACACAGTGCACTTAAGGCTACGGACCATATAATCAACTGAGTCATGCATACGCGGCAGGCGCGTTACAATGCCCAAAAAGGCATGACGTTGAACTTGTAAAATACGTCCGGTGTAATAAATGCAGTTTTTTGGCGATTGACTTCAGCCAATGGGACTTCCTAATAGCCAGACAGCAAATCTATCGACAAGAATAGTTTCGCACGTGAAGGGTGTCAATGGCATCATCAATGCGCGGCGATAGATAGAGACCGTTTTGCGGCTTTCTTTATTCAAACGATGATGGTCCACGCAATACCGGATAGACCAGTCTTAGTTACGCACCAGGACGACAAGTTTTGCCGGTGGACTATGAGATGGTCGAATTACGTCTCTACGAAGCATATCTTCGACTTGGTCGTTAATGACGCACAACTCTTCAGCGGAGACGCGGTACGGTCTTTGACGCAGTGACAGGTGTAGCCCAGTGACAACGTGATGTTTGACTTGCGACGTGCGGCCCAGCCTAGATGGCAAGGGATGAAAATGATGCCGGAACTAACGCAGAAGATCCAGGAGGTCGCTAAACAGGCCAACCTCCTTGAAGGTGCGCCTCCATCGAGCACCTTCGCCAACGCCCGGCTTGCTCAGCTCTTGCTTTGGTTCACAGCTCTGCCTCTGGACGATTCTTCACGCCCCCCCCCCCCACCGCTGAGCACATTATAGTCCTTAGACGTTCAATAAACCTT